GGGAAGAATGAAGGGGGGGAAATCGGAGGGGTAGACAAACCATGAGAGACGATGGACTCTGAAAAACAAACTAAGGGTTCTAGAGGTTTAGGAGGATGGGTTAGCCTGGTGATGGGTATTGAGGAGGGCACGTTCTGCATGGAGCACTGGGTGTTATGCACAAATAATGAATCATGGAACACTACATCTAAAACTAATGATGTAATGTATGGGGATTAACATAATAAAAATAAAAAATAAAAAAAAAATAAAAAGTGGGCTGACGACTAATAGCACCCTTTTCAGAAGTGGTTGTCAGGAGGCCGAAGTCAGAGGTGAGTGGCCACAGCAATCAGTCAACTATCAAGTGCGAACAGAGGTTATCAGCTGTGACCCATCCCTGCCCTGGAGCCCCAGCTGGCCAGAGCAGCAGGCAGAGAAAATGGGGAATGAAGGCCTCTGGAGGGGCCGTGATCCCAGCTCACTGCTCGGTCACAGGAGGAGCCCCCACTTTGCCCTTATCCCTGGCAGTAAACAAGGTGAGCAGACCTTGTAGCTTGGCCACCACATCCTCAGCTGGGAGAGCCCTGCCTGGCTCACCGCGTACACACACACCTGCCCGCACAGCTCACATCCCTCCCCGACCAGGCACACATACCAGTGGGCTAACTCACGCGCAACCCTCCTCACCCCCACCCCAGAGCCTCTGGCTACTGTGCCCACAACACCACCCCTTCCCCTTTTAGGTCAACCCCTGACTGGGCTTGTCCTTTAGCATCTGGGGTCTGGCGCTTTTCCCCAGACCACCAAAAGGCCAACAGGTGGGAACAGGGGGTGCAGACAGATGCTAACCAATCCCAGCCCGGCAGTAAGGGAGCAGACTATCCTACCCCAGGCTCACTTGCCAGGGCCTCAAGGTGCCTAGAACAGTGCTTGGCCAGGGGTGCTTAGCTAGTCACCCTGCGGCCTCCAGACAACTCACTCCCTGACTTCGCATATCAGGGTCAGCAATCAGGAATCGCGAGGAGCTGCCTCCTCTCTCCCAAACACATATCCCAAAGCACCAGCCCATTCAACATCCTGAATTCCGGACCCAGAGTCTGGGCTCTAGAATGTTACCCCTCCCCACTCACGCAGCCTGCCCTTTGTTCACTGTTCATACAGCCTACTTCTAAGGAGGAGTCGGGGCACAAAGAGACAGTCCTCCTTACTGCTTTCTGATGCTCGCCTCCCCCAAGACTTCATAACCAGCCCCCTTGCTGAGTCTCCCCAAATCCATCCCACCCGTTCCCCTCGTCCTTACCGCCAAAGCCCTGGGTCCGCAGCTCGCGGTAGGAGTGGTAAACCTCCCGCTTGAGGTAGTTGATGAAGCCCTCTCTGGGCGCGAACTTGCACACGAAGTTCTGCTCGTAGAGGCAGTTCATTAGGAAGCAGGCGGCAATGGCGTCCTCCCCGCCGTCGGGCTTCAACTCCACCAGCGCCAGGTTGCAGTTCTGGGTGGTGCAGCAGGCGCGCACGCAGTCCCAGCCGCGGCGCACGGTGGGGGAGCCCAGGAAGGTGGCCCCGTTGCTGACCGAGGCCTCGGTATCGAGCACGAAGGCAGGCACCCCGGCGGTAAAGCGGTCCAGGCAGGGGCCTCCCGGGGGCAGGCCGGGGGGCGCGGGCGGCGGCCCAGCCTCGGTGCCCAGGAGATCGAGCGCGCACAGGAGCCACACGGCGACTGCTGGGACGCGGGCTTGGGAGAGGCGGGCGCAGGCCATCATCCTCCCCGGGGCCGTCGCCCTTCTCCCCACCGGGGTCACCTTCACTGCGCGGGCCTCTGGGCTCCGAGGGTGCTAGCGATCTGAAAGAGGGGAGGGGATGGGGGAGGAGACACACCGGATCAGCCGGACACTTCGAGGGAGGCGGGCCAGCCAGGAGTAAGTCGAGGGGATGGCTGGGGAGCACCCCGCGCGCGGGGAGCGAGGAGGGGTATGCGCGCCCAGCCCTCCCACGCACGCTCCGGTGAGCCGGCCGCCGCACGGACGGCCAGATGGACGGCTAAGGAGCTCCCGTACCCGGACACTCGCAGCAGCGCCGAACAAAGGGCCAAACATGCTCCGAGCCCGCTCCGTCCCCGCCTCGCGCTCCGGAGCCCGGGTTACCTGCTCAGGTGAGTGGGGTGGGGCCGGGCCTGCCGAGGTTCCGGTCCCGGCTTCCTGCGCGGCTGCGGCCGCCGTTTCCGCCCCGGTGCAGGGTACGCTGGGGCTGGGCCACCTCCTCCTCAGGTTTCTGGTGAAACTGAGTCAGTGCGGCCGGGGCGGGGCGGACATTAACCCTAACACCGCCGGCCCCGCCCACGCCCGGTGCGCCGCCGCCAGCCCTGCCCTGCAGAGCTCCGCAGAACGGCCGCGGCCCCCGACCTCTCCCGCGCCGGCTCTTCCCCGCAGGGGCTCCGAGCGGCGCCCCTCCGGGCTGCCTTATGCCAACCCCGCGGAGTCCAGCCTCGCGGCGGGGTCCCGCGCCCCAGAAGTGCAGCCTGATCCCCGGAGGCCCGGACACGGCCGGGACGCAGCAGCGAAGTCGTCCCCTCGAGGGTCGGGAGCTCCGGGGCGGCTGCCTCCGGCCTCCCTTTCCGGTCGGGGCCATCATTCCTAGCGTCAGGCCTGAGGCGGGGTGAAGGGGCTGGGGGCAGGGGGCGGGGGGAGAAGGAAAGCCCTTTGCAAATGATCTCGCGGGCGTCGTCAGCGCTCGGGGAAATCTTTTCCGTCTCGTGGCGGGAAGAGATCCCCGGAAGCTGTGGGGCTGCACCTTTGATAACTGGAATCCGGGATGCCTGCTCCAGCGTCACCACCCTTGCCAGCTCCGGGAAGCCCTCCTTTCTGCCAGAGTGAGCAACTGAGGCGGTTCCCTCTTCCACGCTTCCCTGCGGGACCTACAGTGGTTCCATTGCGTTTGAGGCCCTTCCGTATCTTGTACCAAGGCTTACATTCAGGTCTCTGTCGGAGCTGAGTCCCTGTTAGCTTGCTGGTCTGCTACCTCGTCCCCTGGAGCACAGGTTCCCTCTTCTCTCCCACGAAGAGGGTGCTCCTGGTCAAGAGCTAGCCACCTCTCCCAGTAGAATGCCATCCTTGGAAGCTAGAGGTTCCAGCTCACCAAAGTAGTTGAGATAATGACCTTCACAGAACGGTGAGCTCCTTGAAGCCGAGAGTGAAGAACTCCTTTTTTTTTTTTTTTTAAAGATTTTATTTTACTTATTTATTCGACAGAGAGAGATAGCGAGAGAGGGAACACAAGCACAGGGGAGCTGGAGGAGAAGCAGGCTCCCACAGAGCAGGGAGCCCCATGCGGGGCTCGATCCCAGGACCCCGGGACCATGACCCGAGCCGAAGGCAGACGCTTAACGACTGAGCCACCCAGGCGCCCCCCCTTTTTTTTTTAAGATTTTATTTTATTTATTTGACAGAGAGACAGCGAGAGAGGGAACACAAGCAGGGAGAGTGGGAGAGGGAGAAGCAGGCTTCCCGCCGAGCAGGGAGCCCGATGCGGGGCTCGATCCCAGCACCCTGGGATCATGACCTGAGCCGAAGGCAGACGCCTAATGACTGAGCCACCCAGGCGCCCCAAGAACTCCTCTTAATAGACCCTACAGAGCAAGATTGGTCCTATTAATGCTCTCCTAAAAAAGAGATTGCACACCTTTTCACAGTGACTAAACAAACCCCGCCCAGTGGAACGTTCTTCCTAATTTCTCATCTAGAGTAGCTTTACCTACTAGGTCTTATAGCCAACCCTTTGATCATTTTCCTGGCTGAACTGCAACATCCCCCAGCTGCCTACATTATGGGTGTTGGGGTGGGAATCTGGGGTCTGTCCCCTTCTCTGGATTTTCTGCTTTTCTTCCACTGCCCCCGGCACAGTGGACATAGGGCAAGGATGTTATGCCAGGAATGAAGCAAATGATTGTGCAGTTACTAGGAAGAAAGGGTTTTGTTGTGAGTTGATTTCTGCCTCCCCCAATACCTTATACACACAAGAATCCTAACACAGGAGACTATTACCTTATGGTAACATTACATAACCATAGATTGATCATTACATCCATCCACACCATTAAAAAAACCTATATTTATCAAGCACTGACAGTGCCCAAGCCCTTAGGTTCCTAAGCACTTCCCATTGCCCCATATACTCAAACCAAGAGAGCAGGTAGTATTTTTATCCCCAATATACAGATGAACAGACAGGTTCTGACAGGTAACGTGGCAGGTGGCAGAGTGAGGATTGGCATCTAGGCAGGCCAATTCCATTGCTTTAGTGCCTAAACCCTGGGCTTTCCTGCACTTGCAACTCTGACTTCAGCTGGACCTTCCACCCTCACCACAGATTTAACTTGCCTGAAGCAAAAAACTCATTTTCAAGTGGTGAGCAACCACCTTAAGACACTAACCAGCACACTTGACATAGATGATTGCTAATGCTCACAACTCTGAGAATAGTTTCCACTTTGCAGAGAAGTTCCCTAGCTCCGTCCAAGTCACAGAGTAAAGAGTGGGAGGCAAGGCTGGATAGGGGAGAGTATGTGGGCTTTAGCCTCAGGCTCCTGGGTTTAATTATCATCTGCCACTTACTCTCTGTGTGGCCTTTGGCAAGTTATTTAGCCCCTCTGTGCCTTGGTTTCCTTGCGTACAATGTGGGGCCTCATAGGTTATTATGAGGCTTAAATGAGTTCATACAGATTAAACTTTGATACCAGGAGTGCCCAATAAATGATACGCGAAAAAAGTAACAGAGCCAGAATTTTATTCCAAGTCTCTCTGACATCAAAAACTACACTTTTCCCACTACCTTATGCTGCTTCCTACATTTTTTTTTTTTAAAGATTTTATTTATTTATTTGAGAGAGAGAAAGAGCACAAGAAGGGGGAGCGGGAGAGGGAGAAGCAGACTCCCTGCTGAGCAGGGAGCCCGATGCGGGACTCGATCCCGGGACTCCAGGATCATGACCTGAGCCAAAGGCAGTCGCTTAACCAACTGAGCCACCCAGGCGCCCTGCTGCTTCCCACATTTTGAAAAGAAAAACTACACATGAGAGGAAAAAAGGCTAAGACAGTGCACCCAAGTGGTGAAAGTGATGGCATTTGAATGGTGGGAATATGGGGTAACATTTTCTTCTTCTTTCTAGTTTTTAAGTGGTTTTTCAAGTTCCCTTTAGTGAGCATGGAATGCTTCCATAATGAAGACGGGAATTATATCATGACAACCTCCACATTCATCACATTTAGCCCCAAATCATTCCTCTCACCACATTCTCACCTGGTCTCACTGCCCCTGCCACTTTGGAGTTACCTGTGCCCCCTGCCTTTCCTTGGGCCTTCCCTGCAAACAACCAGCCAGCTCCTGACAGTCTTCCCTGGTAATGGTTCCTGATCAGACTTTCCCTGATTTGTTCAGGGACACGGAGATAGTGTGTGGCAGAGGTCACCTCCAGACTTCAGGCCTCTTGACTGCCAATCTTGGGCCCTTTACATGATTCTGCCCTGCCTTCCTGCAAAGCATTTCCAGATGATACAGTTTTCTAATTGCTTATTGCAGGCCCAAGAGGAGCTGTCTGGGTGAGTTAACTCTTTTGTTAGACCATGTGGCTCACCCTCCCTCTGTGAGCTTGGGCAAGAGTAGGCCTGGGTTTATGCTACAGACTTCATTCTCATTTGCCATATCACCAGTACCAACTATTGCTCTTAGGATTGGGTGCTTTGGTGAAAATATTCAGTCCTTAACACCACTGCCAGAAAAGGAACACTGAGTGCCTTGTCTCAGATGGTGATCTGGTGGTTTCTATAAGTCGATGTGGTGGGTTGTCTACAAAGATGGCCAAGACCATACCTCACCTTCCTGTGTGTGCACCCTGCTCCTCCCACCAAGAGGTGGCATCTATCTTCCCTTCCCTTTGAATCTGTAACTTGCTACAACCAACAGAACATGCAGAAGTGGTGCCCTGTGCCTTCTAGGCCCTAACCATATGGCTTGCATTTTTCCCTCTTAGAGCCAGCTGTGATCTAAAGAAGCTTGACTCCCCTGCAGGAGAGAAAGGCCACCTGAAGAGATCAAGCCCCTGAAGGATGGGAGACTTGAAGGGGGAGAGAGGAGTGCAGCTCTCTCCCAGCCACCCCAGCTGAGTAGCCGTGTGAAGCCATCTTCTATCCTTAGCGCCAGTTGAGCTGGCTGGCAGAGACCAGCTGCACCTGCCAAGCCCCGCCCAAGATGCAGAATGGTGAATGAATTAAATGGCTGTGTTTGTTTTACACCTTTACATTTTTGGGTGGTTTGCTATGTGGCAATAATAACTGAAATAGAGGGATAATCTATTTACAGACTAAATTTTAGTTTTAATTATTTAATAATCATAAACAATACATTTTATAAATAAATTTCAGGTTTTTAAAAAAGATTTTATTTATTTATTTGAGAGAGAGAGCGTGCACAAGCGGGGCAGAGGGAGAGGGAGAAGCAGACTCCCCGCTGAGCAGGGTGCCCATGTGGGGCTCCATCCCAGGACCCCGAGATCATGATCTGAGCTGAAGGCAGCCGCTTAACCGACTGAGCCACCCAGGCACCCCTCAGTTTGTTTTTTTTAAGATTTATTTATTTATTTGAGAGAGACAGAGAGCACACCCGTGAGTGGGGGGAGGGGCCGAGGGAAAGAGAGACTCCTCAAGCCGACTCCCCACTGAGCACAGAGCCTGATGTGCGGCTGGATCCCAGGACCCTGAGGTCATGACCTGAGCTGAAACCAGGAGTTGGACGCTTAACCGCCTGAGCCATTCAGGCGCCCCTAAATAAATTTCAGTTTTAATGATCTAAGTCAAAGCCCATGAATTTTCTTGATAATGGAGAACCAACAATTTTTCATAAGGAATTTTGGGGAAAGTAATGTAATACTTTTCAAGGTGAGGCTGCTATCATTGGTGTTTTTATTTTCCATTTTTAAATCTTTATTTAAAGGAGACAGGTTCTCTCGGATGATGCCTAAAAGGGGCATTTTGTTTTTAAAGATTTTATTTATTTATTTGAGAGAGAGAATGAGATAGAGAGAGAGCATGAGAGGGGGGAGGGTCAGAGGGAGAAGCAGACTCCCTGCTGAGCAGGGAGCCCGATGTGGGACTCGATCCTGGGACTCCAGGATCATGACCTGAGCCGAAGGCAGTCGCTTAACCAACTGAGCCACCCAGGCGCCCCAGTGCCTGTCTTTTTTAAGATTTATTTATTTATTTGAGAGAGAGAATGAGATAGAGAGAGAGCATGAGAGGGGGGAGGGTCAGAGGGAGAAGCAGACTCCCTGCTGAGCAGGGAGCCCGATGCGGGACTTGATCCCAGAACCCTGGGATCATGACCTGAGCCAAAGGCAGACGCTTAACGACTGAGCCACCAAGGCGCCCCTAAAAGGGGCATTTTTAAAGAATTCTACTAGTGTCAGAAATGCTCACACAATATTCCAGTATGGTAGGTGGCCTCTAAATGGCCAGCAGTGGTCCAGACCCGCTGGTATTCATGCCTTTGTGTAATCCCCTCTCCTTGAGTGTGGCTGGTCCTAGAGACTGGCTTCTGGTAAGTAGAATACAGCAAAAGTCATGGGATGTCACTTCCTAGATTAGACTACAAAAAGACTGTGACTTCCACCTTGCTTGCCTACCATCCTCCTCTCAGTGCCCTGGCTCTAGCGCAAGCTAGCTGTCATATGGTGATTAGTTCTCTAGAGAGGTCCTTGTAGCAAGGAACTGATGTCTCTGACCAACGGCCCTGGCCAGCACCTGACTTGCAGCCTTCTGAGAATCCCTGACCCAGGGGAGCCAGCTAAGCCACCTATTACAACAGTGACAGAGTAAATACTTATTGTTGTAAGCTGCAAAATTTGGGGATAATTTGTTATGCAGCGATACATAACTAACATATTCATTAACTGAAAAAATTAGGATATCAAACTATAAACAGTTTATTTGGTACAACTTTTCAAGGAGCTAATATGACCATAAATATTAAACTCCCCTAAAATTTTACACATCCTTTGTCCTTGTCATTCCACCTCTAGAAATTTCTCTTAAGGGGAAAAAAAAATCATGGAATTCTTTTTTTTTTTTTAAAGATTTTATCTATTTATTTGAGAGAGAGAGA